AGGCAAAACAAGCAAGTAAAGAGGAAGAGGGCTGGCTGGGCATAAGCAAAAGGCATGGTGTGGAAGTCTATATAATGTCCCACCTAAAAAGCATTCAGACTTCTCAATAAAAAATGTACTGACTCAAAGCTGGGCATGGTGGTCTAGGCCTATAATTCCACCACTGAGGGAGGCTGAGGCAGAAGGATCCCAAATTCAAGTCACACTTGGACCAGGGAGATGGCTCAGTGGAATAAGTGCTTCCCTGACAAGCGCAAAGGCTTGAGTTCAATCCCCGGTTCTGCCAAAAAACCAAAAAACCAAAAAAATCAAGTCACATTTGGGCAATATTAAATTAAATTAACATAAAATCAAAATTAAATTAACATAAATAAAATAAAATAGGGTTGTGGATGTAGTTCAGTTGTAAAGTTAAATACCTAGGACAAAACATAAAATGCTGGTCTAATAAGATGTACCTATCACATACTCTGATGGTCTTGCCACCTTTCTCTCTCATAGGTCAGAACAAAGAGAAGCTTGTCTGCCTTCCTGAGAGCAATCACACGGAAGACCTAGGAATCTTGAATCAGCTCACATCCCCTGTGGCACAATTCCCTGATGACCCACAGTGTGACAAGGGCTTTGGATAAAAGTGAGTTGGCTAAAACCAAAAGCTCATGTTTTTACTTGGATGAATATTGAAAAATCAAAAGAAAATAAAATGCAATAACAGTCTAGCAGTTTCCCTAAACCAGATATATGGTCTTAAATTTATTAAACAGCAAGCACCAAGGTGCAAAGTGGTTTCTCCACGTGCTGCTCTCCCTGCTCTGTGTGTAGTTTCTCCCTGCTGTGTGGCTGGAGATTACAGTGAATACAGGCCACAATTCCAAACCATTTCCCTCCAGTGACTTAAAAAATTCACAAATAAAAAAAGGTAGGGAAAAAAAGTCCTCAATCCTCATCTCTTTGGCTTTACATTCTATTATTCTGGGTAACTGATATGTGAGAAAACACTTTCAGGTTCAATTTAGCTAAACCTCTGACTCACAGAGAACAGCTTTTAAATTGTTCATACAATTCTTATCAATCAGCCCGGTTGGTGTAAAGGAAATAGGCATACAGAAACCTAATCATTTCCTTGGTGAAAAATCACCACGTTTCTCTCATCAGAGGAAGATCAGATCCTTAGATGCTACACAGTTTTCCCCCCAGATTTCCAGTTTCATAGTTTTTCCATTTTAATCACAACATTGTTGAGCAGATCTATAACTCCATGGGTTTTCCAGGCGAGGGTGGATGATACAGACACATGTCCTAGGGAAGCCTTGTGGTATGTATTCTACCACTAGCACTTGATATCAGAGGCTTATTATTTGTACATAGCGAAGTGGTATTCCTTGACAAGCTGGTCCATCAGAAATGCAATCTTGGCAACAGGCTGGAGTGAAGACTCGTGTTTTAGGGAATGAATCATGGTACTTTTATTGGCCTGTAGTATTTTACCTTTGTTATAAAAGAGTATCAGAGTTCACCTTACAGAGAGAAATGAGGAAAACTAAAAATAAGCAGGAAAAGGACCATAAAACCACTCAGGCCAGTCATTCAGTGAGTCCTTTTATGGTTAGTGGTATCTACTTACTATGTTCTAGTGGGTCATTTTTCTTGGGGATAATTCATCTTACAAATTGCCACAGGTACAATTTTCCATCATCAACAAAAACCTCATAGACTCTGTGACAGAACTGCTTGCCCTGGAGGTATGAAATGGATGTGTGTTTTAACTGTTTTTGTATTTTGTTATGCATATTTTCAGTACCTTTCTTTCAAGCTTTGCAGGACTGTACATGGACATTATGAGATTTGCATTAGGTGAACTCTGGCAGAAATTCATCCACATGTGATTAAGCTGGATGACTGAAAGGCAGCTATCTAGGGCTCAAACTAGCTTTTTGTTTTATTAGCTTACTCACAGTAAGAAAGTATTTAGGGTATATAATTTGTAAAATGCCTACCACCCAAAGAAAGCAGAAGACTTAGTCTGGCCATGTAGGAAGGTTAGGCAAGTAAATAGCTAAGTAGATAGACACACACACATACAAAATCAACTTATTGTGATAGAAAGCACATACTATATACAATGTGTCCATTCAAAGTATAGAATACATTTTTTAAAGTGCAAGGACTTTTAGCCTTATGGAGGCCAAAAGACCTTCTTTCCCAGTATAGCTCAGAGAAACTGAGCTGAGCCCCACAGATGGTCACACAGATGGTCAGCGGCAAAGTAGGGAGGGGATGCGAAGTTTGGAGGTTCTAATAAAAATCAGCCCATTGGTTTGCTCATCATGAAAAGTAGCTCACCCTGTGTGGGAAAAAAAGACTTCACCTAGCAGCCTGTGTATAGGCAACAGTCCTGGGCTCTTGACTAGTTAAAGATGAACATCCAACTACCGGCTGCAGAGAATACAGAAAAGAAGCGAAGCGAAGGGGCTTAGAAACAGGAAGGTGGAAGGGCAGCTCTGAAGGAGCCCTGGGAGAAACGCAAGCTTGAGGAGTTCAAGCAATTCCAACCAGTGTTAGCACTGCGAGGCTGACAAATAAAATTTATAAATGTCTCTTAAAACTGCTTCCTCTAGCAAGAAGAGCTGTTATTGTCACATTGATTTTGAAATTAAATGTTATAGAATTTTCTTGCTTTAATGAGAAGGCAGGTCTAACTAGTAAACAAAGTAATGATTAAAGCAATTAAAAGAATAAAGATGAAAAATAAAGTAACAATACTCTTTAACCGAAACAGGCAGGTTTGGCTGATACATTAGGAAAAGATGCAGGTTTATTTGAAGGTAAAAATATTGAGAAGCAATGCTCACTATGAAAAACCCTGGCCTTGGGAAGAGAGAAAAAGTCAATTACTAATGTCATTTGTTTAAAAATCGGCCCGCACCTGTTTCTCATTTGTCCTCCAGCTGAGAAACCAAAGACAACTTTTTACTGCTGTGGCCAAACAGCAAGTTCATTTCTCCATGGGATGATCAAACGACCAGCCTCCCCCAGCCTGAGAAGGTTTGCCTTTCACTTTCAACTTGTTCAATCATCATTAACTTGGAAAATTGTCACATTCCATTTGTGCAATGAAAATTTCAGCACTGGTGACCGTTTGGGTGAAGCGTTTGTAGACAAGGCCCTAAATCTTATAGAACACCTCACACGTTCTCAAGGTCATTTACCCTGTTTCCTTGTTTAACGACAGTTGCCTAAGATTCTGGAGGCAGTCTGGGACCTGATACCAGCATCTTTGAAGAAGTCTTTCTCTGTGTATATGCTACCTCTCTGAAATTGAAAGGGTTCTCTGGGAGATGTGACTTATACACTAGTAAAAGAATGAAGACACGTGCACATGTACACACTCACATACTTGTTATATATTATCTGTACAAATACTGGGATTTTTTTTTGTGGTGGTACCAGGGATCAAACTCAGGACCTTGCGCTTGCCAGGCAGGCGCTTATTTCACTGAGCTCTCTCCCCAGCTCCAACACTGGGATTTTTATCAAGCAGAAGTAAGAGTCTTATTTACTCAGGATACCATTAAAGAAGACCGCTGGCTAGAATCCATTTAAAAGCCAAATTTCCCCATTCTGGGAAGCCAGCTTCCCTGGAGAGCCTGCATTATCAAATTGAGAAGATTCCAAAAAGTTTCTGGAAGGAACAAATAGACTTCTTTATACTTTTGCCATTGGGCTAGAGAAATCCTTATTGCTTTTGTTAATTATTATAATTCCTCCTTTGGAGAGGGGTTCTGAAATGTCAAATCCCAGCAAATCTGGTACAGGACCAAATTCTTGATAGGCACTCTACAAATATGAATTTCTGAAACTAGATGTCAAGTGGCAGGATGGCTAAATTAAGAGGTCACTTGATCCAGTGTCTTAAGAAAAGCATAGAGTCTACTGGAACAAGTCAAACAAATTCTGTGCCACTTGGCAAATAAGTCATTCCTAAAACAAGCTCTAGTTACAGTTCCTGATTAAATTTTCAAGGTCAGAAAGCTCTCTAGAGCTTTAAGAACCCCAGCACTAATACACTTATTAAATGGTCTTCAATAAGGGCTTCTCAATTTCTAGCTGTAACTCTGATTTCAGGGCTGCACTGTGCTAGCTGCTGAAATAAAATTATCAGTAGATCTGGACTATAGACACAGTGTCACAGCCTCTTTCAGGTGGCTCCACCTTATATTAGCATGTTTATTATTGCCAATATTCAGTTTTTATTAATAGTAGAATATGAGGGTAGGAAAGAGGGCAGAAATAATCTAATAATTTTTCCAAGTTATTCTAGTAGCTGATCAGATCTGAGCCTAATGAAGAATCTTATGCCTTCTGATACACAAAAGCCAATGGTGTGGGTTATAGTAAGTATTCCGTACACAGTAAGCCCTCTAATTCTTGTGGTTCCAATCGATGAGGTAGCTGACCAGGGCCACAGAACCCAGACAGTCGGGGTCTAATTCCAGCATACTGCAGAGCTACACAGTATTTGCTCAAGAAGACGCCTCGGTATGCAGCCCAAGTGCCTGCTCATCTATTGCTCCAAGTGGGCAGGTGGTGTTCAGACAGAAAAGTCATCTTTGTTCCCCTTCACAGGGCCTAAGAAGTAAAGATCACATCTCTAAGCTTCCGAATTCTCCTTATACCAATATCTTCTTTCTTGCTCTACTTTTATGGAGGTTACCATTCTATTGCTAGCTCCAGAGTGAGCTGTCCAGCTGTCCCTCTGCCCTCCTGTGTGTCTGTGTGTCTGTCTGTGTGTCTGTCTCTGTGTCTGTCTGTCTGTCTGTCTGTCTCTCTCTCTCTCTCTCTCTCACACACACACACACACACACACACACACGCACAATCACTCACCTAGATCTATTACTGTGCTTCAGTGAAGCTGTGCAGGGTTTGTGATTGGCCACAAAAGCAGACATCATTTGCTCATTAGAACTAAGTGTTTAGGACATGCCCCGTTTACTGACCTCCACTAATGGCCTGGGTTTTCGCTCGACTGCAAACCTGAAGTGGCAGAGTTCACAGTAGCTGGTGTTTGAGGACGACAGCCAGTGCTCCAGGCAGCTCCGATGAATTGTCCCCAAGGTCCCCGTACATTCACATGGAGAGAGCAAGTCCTCTTGGCTGCTACCCTCATGGCAGATCCTGCACATCGGCCGGTCATTGAAGGGGCTGCAAGAGAAGGAGGGGCACCTGCCAGTCACTGGGCTGTGACCCACTGCCAAGTGGACAGCCTTCAGCTCTGTGTCTTTTGGGCCCTCCCCAGTGGTAGCTGCTCAGAGAGATACTTGCATATAGATCCTTCGGTGTTTGAACTTGACCTTGGCAGTCAGGCCAGTGGTCCTGGGCACTCTAGAGCACCCATACCACCTACACTGGACAGTGCAAAGAAATTGGCCATGGCCAATATCAAAGCAGCTGGTTGTGGCCTGGGGCCAAGAGTGAGTGAAAATGAGCAATGCCTTACGTTCCATCTTGAACATAAATGGAGTTCACTCAGGTAAACTATCAATAAAAATAAAAATAATTGTTTATTAAGACTAGAGGTTGTAGGGGCCAAATAGTTCAGCGGATTAAAGTGCCTGCAAGCAGGGGCTGGAGGTCCGATCCCTGGGCCTGTCATGTTGGCTCTGCCCCTGGGGCGCGCTGAGATGGCAATTGACTGGGCGTGGTGGCGCACATCTGTAATCTCAGCACTTGGGAGGCTGTAAACAGGAGAATCACTACGAGTCCGATCTAGTAGTGAGACCCTGAACATCCTATAAACCCTTCCCTAAAATACAGAAAAAACAAATCAAAACAAAGAATAGAGGTTGTTTTGAAATGGTAGCAATTGCAGTTTCTGGACAAACTGCACCTTTTGAACCAGGCCAGGACTCTTGTATACGCAGGGGTTGCTATCAAGAGTGGAAAATGAGACCAGGGATGAACTGGGAGCCACCTCTCAAGTGGCCACATGGAACCGCAGACGGAGTCAGGCAGTAAGTTGAGTGGCGGAGGGTCCTCTGAGCTTGCAGAGGATGCTTTTTGGGATGGCCAAGATAAAAAATTGGAAATGAGTAATGGGATATGTCCTACCTGTACAACTTATGTCTAGAGTTCCACCTTTAGTTTTGGCAAAACTCCTGTACATTTCAGGAAGGCAAAGTAGTATAGTTAGTACAGTCTTTGCAATCTAGCTGCATGGGTTCAAACTCCTACTCAGGATTATCAACCAGCTAAATGTGGGCAAATAAGTTAGCAATTTCATCTCCCTGTACCTTTAGTCGCTTTAGCTCTAAAATGGGCAAAGGTAAGAGTTCCTGCCCTCTTGTGAATGTGAGGATGAAGAAATATAGTCAGAGAAGAAGATCAGAATCTGTGTCAGCACACAGTAAATACCTACTTACTGCTAGCCAGCGTCCTTGTGAAAAAACTCCAGGTATGGAATATCAAATAATCGAGCCTTCACCATATAAGTCTATGGCCAATGGAAGAATCAAACTAAGATGGCCTCACTTCCCAATGGATACTGTATCATGTGAGAGGCTCCTTGTCTGATGTTTTCCTATTCTTTGTTAGGCATACGATTAAAAAAAATGTCACTATAGGGCTGGAGATATAGCTCAGTGGCACAGCACCTGCCTGGCAAGTGTGAGGCCCTGAGTTCAATTCCCAGTACAAAAAAAAAGAAAAAAGAAAAAAAGTCATCGTGATATGAGACAACCCGAGGACCAGCTTCCTTGCCTGTCCACCCATCTCTCCTCAAATCCCCCAAAGATAATTGCAACCAAGGCATATGTCCCAACACTCTCTTCAATGCAATCTTGGATCTAAAGGGAAAGAACCATGGAAACACACCAGTTTTCCAAAGGCCTTTCTGGGAATGATCCTGAGAATGAGTCAAGGCTGGAAAGGGATTAAAGAGAAAAAGATCCCCCCTTTTTCCTGCTCAGAGATTCACTTGGAATCAGGGGTGAAATATGAAAGAGTTGACTTTTTTCTCCTGGCTTCATTTACTTTGAGCCATGTCTATATATAACTCTGTAATCTTCTGCTTTGGATTACTGTCTGCTAGAGAAGCAGGTACAAAGCCTGACAAACAGACCAGTGCACTGGCTCAGAGATCTCAAGCGTCTCACAGCCTGTTTTTCCCACTCAACCGAGGCATGCAGACTCAACTCACCATCGCATTCATATTCTGAGTTCTGAGCAATTGTAAATTCCCCAATATCTAGTAAATATTTTTCCGTTTCTTTTCTTTGTGACACTGCATAGAGGTTAAGTAGACGGTAGAGAATGTAGGCAGCCTGAAAGGGTGTGATTCTAGGACTAAGGGCCACCATGTCAGGCAGTGGTGCTGCCACTGGGTCTGTTGCAGGCATACCTTTAGACTTGGGGCCTAGGCCTGCACCATTGGAGGCAAATGATCACACAGGTCCAGGGAAAGAGCCAAGTGTGACTAACTGCTGCTCCTAAAGTTTGGAGTTGGACATAGGAGCACTGAAGCTAGGGGGCAAGGCTGATGGTAACACACATTTTACATTCATAGGTCAAAAGTTTCACTTTGTTATTGTGAAAGCAAGCTGGAGAAGCCAGAGTGCACCTACAACTAGCTTGGCAGCCTAGAGCTCACAATCTGCCATTGGGTGAGAGCAGCACAAAGAGAAGACCGTAGGGACAAAGTGCCAACCTGGATGAGCACTCTCTTGAGCTGTTTAGACCTTCACGCACCCTTGCTTTGTTTCATCACACGAGCAGATAGCTATGGAGGCTTTAACAATTACATCACTTCACACAGTGGACTCTATGTGAAGGGTCACAGTGACCCACAGAGGGTAAAGGAGGGGACAACAGAAGAGGCCCTCATGTGGAGAGAGGAGATTCAGTGGCTCTGGACAGCACGCACATACACTAGGCAATGCCAGTCATCACACACCCTAGGAATGTCTCTTCAGAAGTTTTGTCTACAAATCCAATCACTTTGGCTCAGTTACCTGAAACCAGGTGCCTTCTTTATTCTGTTCTAGCAAAGGACTTCTTTTGTTAGCTACTGGAGACAAGAATGTAATTACCACAGCAATGTCAAAATAACAAATGTAAAGCAAGCAGCCCCCTTGTCTGGTGGGATCCTTTCCTTGTGGCTCTCTGCAAGTGTGACTTTAAGCAGAACCCCAGACAATGTGAATTTCAGCTTTCTGTCCTATTGCTATAGAAACATGATGACAGAACGTGTGTAGTTTTTTCCCCCAGCAACCCCTCTCACCTGGCACAAAGACCTGAGCACTAATTACATCCCTTCAGCATTTTCCATCTGACAAATAGTTCTCTGGATCAATTACAGATTCATTTATTTTAATTGTGGTACTACCTCTGGGTGGCAAGAGTCCGCACTACAGTTGACAGCAGCTGCCCGTCCTTGGCTGAAACTTGCATGACATACTGTGGCTGCCCATTCACCAGGCTGCCACAATCCTCCACGGTCTTCACCACGGGTGCAGACGAACTGGTGCAGTCTGGCAGGACTTCGGGCAGGTGACTGCAGCGGCTGGTTGTCATGGCAACAGACAGCAATTACTCTGCTAATGGCTTCCACATTCATAGAGGATTTCCATCTAGGAGAGATCAGAAAACAGTTTACTTGGGCAAGGTGGTTAATAGAAAATGGAGACCTATAGGTCTGCCGACATCACCATGCCACTATTTAACACAAATAACACGTTATACATACATGCACACCTTGCATGTACACACAGCACACAAGAAATAGTGGACATTGCCATAAACAATGCAGCAACCACATCAGTGTCCACAAACATTGGGAACCCTGCTTTCCATGATGGAGATCTAGGCTCTGAAGCCTGGATCTAAAGGGAAGATAAGCAGTTCTGCTCCACACCAGAGAAGCAATAAGTCTTTGTGGACATTCTCTAAAAGTTACTAGGCCCGTTATTAAAAACATTTGCAATTATTTTTTCTGGAAGGGAATTTTTTCTCCATGCAGCTTCATTCTGAGATACTAAGATTAAAACCAACAAGAGAGAAAAGAAGCAAAGATAAATTTGGTCAAGTAGCACATTTTAGGACACTGCTTGCCAAGTATTAATTACTGTTCTACCTTTCTGACTTTCACTATCTGGCAAAACACAATAGTACAAATTTGTCTTCAAGATGAACTTCCTTCAAAATGTTAGCCTACTTTAGCTTGCCTTAAATAACGTTATTAATGAAATGATTAGTTTACCTTGTTTTATTTTTTCAAATGGACATCAAAACACACATTATTTTTGTTTATTTCTATACTACCTAAAATCAGAGGGCACATGCATTATCATATGGCATCATGTAGGAGAGCACAAAAACTGATGAATGAGTTTTGTCACTAGTCACAAATAACCCATTATTATTATTATTATTATTATTATTATTATTTTTTTTTTTTTTTGCAGAATCGGGGACTGAACTTAGGCCTTTGCGTTTGCCAGGGAAGCGCTTAGTCTACTGAGCCATCTCCCGGGCCCCATTATTATTATTTTTTAATGTATTTGGTTGTTGCAGGCTCTCACTATGAAGCTCAGACTTGTGATGATCCTCCTGTCTTCAGCCTCCCTAGCCCAGGGATTACAGGCCTGCACCACTATGCCTGGACTCTGGCCGGCTCAGCCTGCCCTAGGGGCAAGGCTGGCATGGCATGTAGTGCCGGGGATCGAGCTGTGCTTGCTTAACCTTGCCTAAGCAGGTGCTTTAGCCTGCTGAGCTATCTTGCTGGCCTGAAATAACCCATTATTAGTAACAGTGTTCCTCCCTGATAGACTCCATCATGTAAACTGTGAAGACTTCTATTCCTGATCTCTGAAATGCAGGCATGGGTCATGACCTCAAGTTCAGAGTATTAAGTTCCAGTGGAGTAGGGAAACCCACTAGGATCAGTACTAGGTCAGCATGTGAGGCATAAGAAATGAAAGTTTAAAAGAAAAAAAATCTTTGTGTAGGATGGGGAGATGACAGAGTCACAGCCCATGCACGCACTTTCTTCCGGCTTGCTCACTTCAGGCTCGTGCACATGGCTGGGGCCCAGCAGACAAGGGCAGGATTGATGATGGGCCTAAGCTCATGTCAACAACCAGTCTGCATTGTCAAACGTCCAAATTCAACTAACCGAAAATCTTGTCTTCCCATCCCAAAGAGGATATTTGGAACTTCTCTAGGGGCAGTGTCTTCCCAGATATCTGTCTCTCCTTACTATATTTTACTCGATCCTCACAGGACTCAAAAACAGGATCTTCTCAACTTCCAGAACAATGTGCATCAATGGACATTCTTAGGATCAGAACGCTGTGTTTACAAATGAGCTGGAGTAGATGGTTCCTTCCCAACAAGCACATGTCAAGCAGGTTTCACTGTCACAGACAACTGGACATGAACTTCCTCCCCTCTTTCTGCAGAGGGGTGGCTAGTCTCCTCGTGAGCCCTCTCAGGGTGGGCACCTGCCTGTTCAGCAGCCTTCTCAAGCTGACAGTGGGACAAGGACTGTGGATGCCAAGCCTTAGCTGGCACCTGAGGCAAGTGGACTGGCAAGGCCTGCCCTGTCTGTGTCACTTTTATTACCACAATATTGAACATGCCTAGGAATACAATCATGGCTAAGGTATAGTTTTGTTTTTAAAATAGGATTTGTTGGGCTGGAGAGATGGCTCAGTGGTCTAAAGCACCTACTTGGAACAAGCTTGGCAAAGCACAGGGACCGCGGTTCAATCCCCCAGCACATGCCAGCCCGCCCCGCCCCCTGGTGGGGTGAGCTGACCACACACACACACACACACAATGTAAAATAAATAAATAAAATAAATAAATTAAAAAAAAATAAAATAGGATTTGTTGCTTTATTTTACACTGTGAATCCAAGAAGTGATATTATAGAAAGTACAGAGAAGCACAGAGAAAAAGAACAAAATTCACTCATAATCCTACCACTCAGGTGACTAGACTATATTTTAGGGGTGGATGTCTTTCTATTCTTTTGGCAGAATTTTAGAGTGGACTTTATTTGTAGTTGGGGGCCAGAGAGATTTTCTTTTTTCTTTTTTTAAACAAGTGATGATAGCTCTCAGCTCAACAAACAAAAGGATGTTAAAAGCCATTCCTCTTTTAAAACTGCGTAACTTCCCTCCACTGGCCTACCCTGACAAAAGCCCATTGACATGATTTTATATTCTCACAATGCCTCACAGCCACAAAGTGTAGCTTCCTGGCATGGCTCTCTGGCTTCACAAGGCAGCCATAGATTGAGAGCCAGGGGTGTGTTGGCAGGAAAAGCAGACATAGTGACCTTCTTGCCGAATGGAATCATTATGTCTGGGTACACTCTGAGAGTCTATTTGCAGGTTTTGTGCATCTCTGACTTAGAGGGCCCAGGTCTCCCTCCCTTCACTTGATGGAACTGGGAGGGGTGGGGAAGGCACGCAGCATGTCTCTGTGGCCTGAGGTGCTCAGGAAATAGGCTACCCTATGTTTGTCCACCCATAACTTAATTAGGTCCTAGTACGGGAAGACACTCTGAGGTCAGATGTTGCTCTATAGTAGAGGACTTGCCCAGCATGTGTGAGGTCCTGGATTTAACCCCCAGCATTGCAGAAAAAGTGAAGGAAAAGAAAAGTCATTCTACACATGTGATCTAACTACACAGTAAAATGCTCTTAAAAATACTGTAGGGCTAGTATGATGACAGAGGCCTATAATCCCTGCTACCTGAGAGGCCAAGGGAGGAGGACTGAAACTGTGAACCCACCATAGGCGATTTAGCAAGATTCTGTCTCAAAATAAAAGGGAGTGAGGATAGATTGAGGCCCTGGCACTGGGAAAGAAAAAAAAAAAAAAAAGATTCTAGGTATAGAATTTTTCTTAACTTATTTTGTATTTGGGTGATAAACTTCATCTTACTTTTCTTTTCATAGGCAAAAGGAATGTTACCATCCACCTGATCAGTTTATTCCAGTGGCAGTAGGTGTGGCTACTGACTTAAGCCAGAGAGACACAGGTACATCTGCCTCTTCTCCAAGTCCTGGCTCTTTCCCTCTGCCAGGCTTCAGAATCCTGCACTCTAGGTGCACTAAACTTTGTTTGACTAAGGACCCAGCTGAAGGGATATTCCAGTCCAGTACAGCAGCACGTCTGCCAAGCACCCCAGGTCAGAATCAGCTTGAGACCGGAAGACCAGCATGCCAGCAAAAGACTATGCTTTGAATTAAAAATGGGGTGGGAGAGATTACAGAGCATAAGCATGTTTGAGCTCAGTGGGGATGGCTGAGTTGGCTCCAACCCCAGAGAATGGATCTTTTGTTTCCTTTGCTGTTTTCTTCTTTTTTCCTCTCAGTAGCAGGGCCTTGTAAATGCTAGGCAAGTGTTCTACTATGAAGCTATTCCACCCAGCCTTTTTTATATTGGGAAACAGTCTCACTAAATTGCCTAGGGTGGGTTCACAGTTTTGATTTTCCTGCCTTGGCCTCTCAAATAGAGGGGATTACAGGCCTCTGCAATCACGCTGGCCCTACTCAAGTGGAAGACAAGGTAAGGGAGTATGTTCTGCCCTGATCTCAGTAAAGGGAATCCCAGAGGAAGGGATGTAGGTATGGGGCAGCAGGAGTGACCTGAAGAATGCCCGCACCAACTGGCATTCCTATGTTGCACCCAGGCAGTGACAAATGGCCCACTACGTGTTCCTGTTTCACTTAGAGCCACCTGGGAAAACAGGCTGATGCTTGGATTATAGAAGGAGCTGAGCTGTTGGTTTGCAATCTAGCACTGGTCTTCACTGAGCTTTCTATAAAATTTCAAGCACCGTTCAAGTGCTTCCTTATCAATACCAGTGCACTGCTCTCATTGGAAAGCAGCTTCCAGCTATTCAAGAATTCTCCCTGGAACTTGTCAGGAAAGAACACGGTGCTGAGAGAGTAGTGTATGTATATACCTGAAATCTCAAACTGCCCTGGCAGGACAGGTCCTTTGTGGGCCAAGCTTGACACCTTGAATGATTTCTTTCTTGGGCTGACAATAAAACATGATGTGGCAGTGGCCAGACTCAGCTGCACAACAGTGGGGAAGCGTGGGAGTAAGTGGACAAGAAGGACATGGTGAAATCAGAGGAGGGTGGTGAAATCAATGAAAGCCTGATGAGAGAATTGTTAAAATAAAAAGGCTTGTCTGTTAAGCTGTGATCCCTACGAAGAACTGAGTACAGGTTCCACAAAGCAGATCTAACCAGGCAACAGCTAATTGTCACTGAGTTTCTGCAGCAGGCTGCCCCTGGTGAGTGATTTCCATGGGAACGTAGCTGGCATCCTGAGGATGTGTTTTTAGGACATGGGAGAAGGGAAGAAAAGCACACAGGAAAACACCCCGCTCACCTCTGCATCCCCTGGGTATTAGCAGTCACTTGCTCTTCCATAAGGACTATGAAGTTAGGAAGAAAGCTTTGCTTTTAGAGGCACAACACACAAATCTTTGCCCTTGCTCACTACTCACCAGCGTAAGTCACTCAGCCTTTCAGACTTTCCTCAGAGTTCTTGAATATTTGAAGTTAGTCTACAAATGTACTAATACTGCCAGAACCACTTCA